ACTGCATCCTAAGAACATTACACATGCTCAAAAAAGAAAAAAATCATAAGAAAATTGGTTACAGGACATTTCCAGGATAAGAGGGGTCCAAATTGAAAGAAAAAGAAAGAAATTTATGACAGCTTTGCTTATCCTTGAGAAAATGTATTAAACTTCATATTTGAATTCTGAGATGTTGCATACTCATGTTTGCTGAAGGTTTCTGTTCCTGCTTTGAAATTCTAGTGAAATAGCTGATACTGTCAAGAACACTGTCAAAAAAAGTATATGTATACCAACGACATATGCTTCTCCAATTTCTTATCTGCCAAATACCAAATTATCCTTTGAGCTCCTATTCTCATTAAAGCAATGAGACAACAGCCACTGTCTTTGGAAACAGTGAGAAACCCCACAATTTCTGTACTGTTAAATTTCACTTCAGCAGCTAGAAAACTATTACTTATCACAAGAGGTTGTGGGGATTCTTCCCCCTCAACATTAAAAAAAATTTGAGTTCTCTCATTAAAAAAAAAAAAAAAAAAAAAAAAAAAACACAAACAAAAACAAACAAACAAAAAAAACCCCCACGAAAATAAAAAGCAGCACGAACAAATCTAGTTGTAAAAAATACTGAAAAAAACCCAAAAACACATAAGCAAGCAAAATCACAAAGCATATAAAATACCTACATATATTTCCCAGGAAAATTTACTATAAATACTTATATAATTAAATATCCACCAGTTTTCCCCAAATGAGTAGTGAGGCCCTCTACCATTTTTTAACAGTTTCTCAGAAGTCCAGTCAAGGGTCAAAAGCTTTCCACAGATTGAATTGTGTCAAATTCAACAATATACATATGACTTCATTCTGTATATCAAACACTCCATCTAATTAAGGAAATCTTTTTCTTCTTACTCAAATGATATAATTTCAGGAAGCAAAATCAGTTCATAAACATGTTTAATTTCCTGCATCTTGTGATTAATTATGAATGTGTCTGATTCTTCTTTGAGAAACTGACCTCAGAAATCTTATACTTCCATCATCTACAGCATTTTACATCACTTCAAAGTAAATCAATTTCCCTGAACAGATTTTAAGTAAGTTTTTACCTTTTACTGTTATTTACATTTGTGCCACTCAACATCAAATGCAGACAGAAGTGCATGGGTTCCATTAGCATGTTCTTAAATCACGTGCTTAGACAATTTAACATGGACACATTTTTAAATCATACGTCAAGTTCCCATCTACATTGTTTAAGAGCAAAAGTCACATTTTCAAAGGTTGTGGCACCAAGAACATTATATTCCAGTCGTGCTTCTCAAAGATAAAGTATGAGGAAAAAAGGATATTCTGGCCATACAACTGTAGGAACCATACTTAGCCAGCTGCACTACTTGAAAACACAAAAACAGTTTCTAACTGAAGGACATTTTGCACCTCCTTATACAAACCTCTTCCTCCAAAGCCTGCACTTAAGATGAAACTGGGTAGTGTGAATATTTCTTAGTGCCTAAACCATTTATGAAATGTCAGGAATAAAATTTAGCTACTAAAGCAGTAATATGGCTATTTCTATTTCAGTACTTGAGCTTTTCAGTATTCACATAAAGTACTGAAACAATTCAATATTAGTACAATCCCATGCACATGACCCTTTTGCAACTTTTACAGACATGAATTACAGGCTAGGAAACACTCACTTGACATACTGATATGCAAGTGACAGTGAAATGCTTTGAAAATTCAATAGTTTAACCATTTTAAATCTCCCATTCTTGTTTCTCATGATGCTCCCAACAACCACAAGGTTCTAATTTCTCCTCTTTGTTTATTCTTTAAATGTAATTTTCCATCTAATGAATGGAATGGGAGGAGAGGAGATGACAAACATGGCTGGGTTTTTTCAACATTCATTTCAGGTACAGAACCCTTCTTTCCCTCACAACTACCAATTAATTAAATATTTTTAAGAAAACTAGTGTGGAGGAGAGTCATCTCTATCAACGATTTCAGTATTCGTCACTGATTGGATTGAATAATTTCATTAATTGTCTCCAATGACCCAGACCAGTAATAACAAGTTACATCCCCTACTTTCCAGCAGATGCTATGAAACACATAATTTTGTAAATTATGTCGGAAAAAACAGTATTTTCTGACTTAAGTCAAGTAGTTCTATGGCTACAATGTTGCCTAAGGCCTTCAAGTCTGCATCTGTTGTATAAATAGAAATATTTTATTTCACTAGAGAATTGTACAAATGGTCCAATACCAATGTACATGTCCAATCTTGTACTACACTATGAAGCTTTAACCTTTAGACACGTATGTTGTCTTGTATTTTCCATACTGTTGGCCTTTATTTTCTTCACCTGTGGACTGCCATAAAGTTTAAAAATTAAAGAGGTAATTATGGGAGGGCCCACTATTTAAATATTTGTTTCAATATTCACAAAGCACCTGGACAAACTAATACGATAAATTAGAAAGCTGTTTTGTAAGGTTACTAGGGAAGAAATAAAAGCTAGATCAGACATGTCAAAGGTACAGTGACAGAACCCAGAAGTGAAGAGTTCCAAAAAGTATCCCTTTTAGATTCCACAAACAGTACCTGATACACCACTAAGATGCATTGTGAAGAAAATGCCTGTCCAGGTAAGAACAATGATAGGAGCTTTTCCCATGAGCAGCAAACACAAATAATCTTCTACTTTACACTGATGTGTGCTCCACACTGTGCTAACTCGCCTCCTTCACTTCCCAAATAAACCCAGGTGCAGTTCCACAATATCCTTCAGGTGACCATGCTGAACTGAAGTTCAATTACAACTCCTTTCCCATGTCCATCTGCATTGGACTGCTTTTGAAACTATTTTGGTAAACATTGGATGTATAAGATTAATTTCAATTTAAGTATAAGATTAATTTTAATTTAAACTTTCACAGTGTGAAAGTGTATTAAAATTTCTTACAGCTGCAGATATCTCAAACAATTTTGATTTCAGAGAACGGTGAAATTACCAAATCTTTATTCTTTAGGGGAAAAAACAAATTCCGCACTTTAATTCAGAAATATAGTAGGTGTCAGGAATAGGGCTGTACTCAATTAGTAGTAAGCAATGATTAAGTCCTAATATTTTTAAACAATACACCTCAACATATTTATGTTGAAGTGTATTATTTGAAAATATTTTGCTACATCCTATATCTAAAAACAATGACAGTATTACCCTATAGCATGAATTTTCATTTTCAAACTTTAGGAAATATTCTCAGAAAGCAAAATTTAAATTAACAGCCAAATTGTCCATTCTGGAAATGATCCTCCATAAATTATATCCTGTCAATTCAAATACTGAATTTGGGAAATGCTATATTAAAAAAATGCACCTTGTTTCCTAAACTGACCAAAATTAACAAAGAGGTTCCATGCGTGGCTTCTCATTTCTCAGATGGTTAGGCATATTGATAAACCCAAATGTGCACAATATGTGCTGCTATACCTTGACACAACATAAATATACTCTCAGAAATAATCTAACCCAATGACATTGGCCAGCTGGTCCCTTATAAAATGCAATGGGAAGCTCTAAAAAATACCCCAAAGAAATAAATGAAGTCATCAAACAGTGTTGAGTAAGTTCTCCCCCTACACTGAAGTAAAATGTATTTTATATTATGTACATTAGGTTTTGGTCCCAGTTGTTGGTTTGTATCTGTGTTCACATACAGCCCAGTGAAATCAACACAGAGCAACTTCTGACTGCAGAGTTGGGAGCAGAGGACTCTGGCTTTGAGGAATTTCTAGCCTTGATAATTAAATTGGAACTAGAAGCATGAGTTCAGGTTTTTTTCATTTTTAGTGCTGAAGATGTCAGGAAACATGCAAAATGCCATTTTTTAGAAGACCATCACTAAAAACTGTAAATGTGGCAGCAAGGGAACACGCTTTCCAGCTATCGATAAAAGTCAGTAACTAACATAAATAACAGTGAAGAATGGTATTTTCAGGAAAAATAATCAAAATATTCTTCTTGCAGAACTAAACAATACAGTGGCAATTAAATCACCTCAACTTTTTGCTGCAGAAGACTTGACTAAAAAGCATAACCTCTTTTCCTCCATTTCCTCCTCCATCCAAATAATTAGTCTGTAGCCCAAAACTGATTCACCATCAAATATTTCTTAACCAAAATAAACAACCAAAGATACAAATACTTTTTCAGTTCAACCCAAACTAGTTAAAGTTTCATGGGGATTCTCTGAAGTTTTAAATGAGATTTAAATCACTTTAGCTTCTAGTTTATATGTGCATTCTAAAAAGAAAACTAATCCAAATTACATAGGAGACACTTTTTCCTGCAATGAACTCCACAGAAAACCCTTGCATTTTAGTATTTGACAATGCTCTAAAGCAATTATGTTTAAATAAAGTGAAAAACTAAGAAGTTTTTTTCCTTTTAAATAACATATCTGTCTCCATTTGATATGTAACTGTTCACAGGTTTGAAGGATTTCTACACTAATAAAGAAAAATATGAAGGGAATATAAAATCATTATTAATCTATGAAATGTATCAAAAATCTCATTGCATAGGCATTTTGATCTTGTCTTTGCTTTACAGTTCTGACCACTCCTTTATTTGTAACACTGGACTTAATTTCCAGGTTTGCTTCTGCTCTTCCAAACACAATTTTACTTTCAGATAAAATAGGTCTATAGTTTTAACACCTAATATGAAATTAATAAATTCACTGTTGGTACTTCAAAATCATGTAGTAGAGTAGTGGAATAGACTGGAGAGTGGACTGGCAGTCATTTTTTGTTACTTGCTGTCTCTCTCCACTCTCTCTTGCAGTGGGAATTAATCTGCAATTTTACAGAGAAAATTGGGATTGACTCAGTCCTGATGCAACAAACCAATCAAAAATCCTCCACTAATGCTGGGACACAGTGCTTCCTAAAAATGTTCTTTAAAATTAAACAGAGAAAATCATAGAAAACTTACAAGTACTCTGCCAGTTAATGTCTGGGCAGATATCATGACTCCTGCCCAATCCTTCACAGACGTCATCCATCCCACTTCTGCTGCCACATTCTCCTCTTTTTCATCTGTTGGTTTGCAGGCTCCATCTGCCTGTGTATCTCCACCACCATTGATCTTCTGGGCCTCCTGGAAGGTAAGTATTTGGGTTAGTTAATGTTTAGCAATTTGACAGTGAAAGTCAGTATATAGGTAGGGCCAAGAATAGTAATAAAAACCAGAAAATTTGTCTTCCTGGATCCCTGCTAGGTGAAACTAAGAACGTACTTGGCCACATTTTTAGAAATAAAAGAAACAGAAATGTTCTGTAAGGTACCAACTAGATAATAATACTCTCCTTGACATGACATCTTCAAAACATATACTTAGCACTAGATATACAATAAGTTCCTTCGCTACAAGCAACATAATTGACAACAGCTCTGTATGCAATTACAGAGTTACATATAAATGAATTTGTCACACATACACCGAAAGACCTTTTGATGTTTCAGTTCAAAATAATGCATACTAGGTGTGAACATAATTTATGTACAATTTTAATTTCCCATCACTAGAATAATTATCTGAGTAAACCTTCACTGAGAAGCATGATGTAACAAGACAGCAATTATCAAGTGTGAGGGGAAAAAAATCCATCATAAAGAATCTGCAGGAAGCTGCCATGCTATCAGTGAACCTGTGTTTCAATGAAAGTGTTTAAAATATCACAGGAATTATTCTGTCAGTAAGTGGTTCTCACAGAAAGAAGAGCTAGAAATTAGAGGAGCCTCAGCTGCACCAAGCTCACTGATGAGTAACATGCACTGGAATTCATATCAGTCTCTCATGGATGCTGCAGGAAGGATGTTGTGCTCTGTAACTGCCTGTGATGTGCTACAGTCATGGGTGTGCACAAACATCAAGGGAAACGACAGGAAAAGCCAGCGAGGATCATACAGTGTTTAAATCATCCTGCATGCAAAGTATCACTGTGCCATGAGCATGCCTTTGGTGACAGCATAATACTAATGACTTCCTGAATACTTGACAAGCTATGCTAAACAAAAATAGGAGAGGCAGCAATATTCAGTGCTGAAGTAAGTCCTGAGCACTAGATCTGCATTAGTGTTCCAAGCACTCTGCACAGACCGACACCTTGAAAGATCTTGCTTGTAGAGTACTTGTCTGTAGGCCACTAAGCAGGAAATGAATTGCCATTAATCCCCTTTGGAATATCTTTTATACAAGCAAAGATGCTTGATGTTGGTTATGTGATAATTACTACAGTAGAAATACTATCCTGTGATGGTCAAGACCCACAGTTGTGAGATGGCCTCGACGACACAGCTGGACATAAGGGTACAGGCACTTCCTGAGAGTAAAACTGAACTGATAAAGCAATTTCATTAAATCTGCCAGCAAAGAACAGTAGAACAAAGCTTAAAATGTAATATGAAGACCAACAGTTTTTTTCAGAGAAGCTCAACATTGCTAATTAGCTAATCAGATTCTTTTTTCTCTGTTAGTTTCCCTCCCAGAAAGCAGGCTCCATATTCTTACTAGCAATTATGGCAAAGCGTGATGTTTCTATATTGATAATAACAAATTATTCAGCGTTACAACAGTAATTCAGTACACTTCCCAAGCAAATAACGCAACAGAAGTTTAAAATTACTTTGTATTTGCATAACTGGACCTCATTCACTGACAAATTTGGACACAGTGAATCAGATGTTTTGCACTCGACGTTGAAAGATGTATCCTGTACCGCACACGCACAGAGCACAACCTACAGGAATGAGCTCACTGCAGAGGACAGCAATGTACAACACGGAATGAGGCGTCCCAGCACAGCAATGCTTGCCTGGAGCCAACAGGTGACCCAAAGCCATAGAGGTCAGACCCGAAGAAATGCCTTCACCAACATCAAGATTGTGATTATAAACCAGGAAAGAGAAAACTAGGCTCTATACTCCAAATATTGAAGCTTAGGCGACCTAGGCCTATCTCCTAGGCCTCACTGGTCCTAGGTGCTGTCCGCAAGGTCTCCCCTGCCTCAGACGCCCTCCGTGGCCCAGGACACCATTTCAGCCCCATCCAGGGCTCCCACAGCGCTGTCCTTTCCAGCCTTGGTGAGCCCACAGCCAGTTCTCCCTGCCTGAGCCACAGGCTGCTGTCCCAGGCCGACCCCAGGAAGGCTCCAGGCCAGGGCCTTGTCCCACCAGCCCAGCCAGGGCGCCGGGCAGGCCCCTGGCCCACGGGAGCCCCACAGCCCTGGCAGCTACAGACTGCTCAGAACACTACACATGCCGTTTCTTTCCCTATTCACACCAGTTTCTCGCCTTTTGTAACTGCTAGAGCTTGTCTTTCAGAACTCTAAGCTTCACACCAGATTTTGCTCCATGGTCCTCTGCATTGCACTGTGAGCTTACATACTCTGTACAAGTTTATATTGAATGAATTAATGAGGTTTTCATAGTAAAGGAGGTATAATTCTCTCTTCCTCTCAGATAAGAAATTGAGGTGATGATTAGGAGCCTAACTCGGCCACTAGAGAAGTTACGGGCAGAGTCAGGATGAAGCCACAGTCTTTTTTCATCTTTTCACCCAGCAACCCTTGTTTAAAAGTGCACAGATGCACACAAGTACAGACCTTGCCATAGAAAGTTACAGAACTACAGATCACTAAACAAAAAGCTGAATAAAAAAGTCAATTTTATTGAACTTGTATTAAGGTTAGAAAATTCTTTTATTGTGTATATGTTCCTTGCCCCCAATCTTCTTGTCAATAGATGTGATTGTTCGCACGATATAAAATAATTTAAAATTTCCTAGCACTCAATGAAATAAAATAGTAGGCAATTTACTTAATTGAAGGAGAAAGGTAGCTTTTATATTTTGAAAAGGTTTTCATAACCTACAGTTCTTTCGCTGTATTGACTTTTGGTTACCAATAGAATAGAGCAGTAAAACATGACAAACCTATTCAGTATTTGATTCTTCTGAAGGTATTAAAGTCTTTATTACATTTGAATGGCTATATTTCTATATTTATACTACTTCTTTCACCTCTATTAAAATCTCCCACCCATATTATTTCTTAATTAAAATTTAAGTAAAACAATCATCCCCTGCCAAGTATGATTTGGAACAGACTCTCATGATCAGCCTAGCCCCTGCCATTATTGTAGCTATAATTAACATGCAGATTAGTTGCTGTTATGTAGTATTTGTATTCAGTTGGGATATTTTATATTTTTCATCTACATGGCTAGCTTTTTATCTTACTTAATTGGCAGTTGAGTATTAGGAAAAGTTTATCCCTGAGTCATTATGCAATTGTGCAGTGATCACTAAAGGAGGTTTAAAGGCTGGGTTTTTTTTCACACTGAACACAAAATTCAGTCCTGTTATTAAGTGTATAGTCTTGTTTCATTGCTATTTCTTCATCTCAAAGCATTGAGTAACCAACACCAAGACCTGAAAAAGGTGCTTAAAATAATAACCTGACAGTAACGATAGTTGCTTAATTATTTACAAGTTCAGTATTACAAGCAAGGGATCTTGACCCACTCTGCTTATCAGTTTTCATTATTTTAATTACTTGATGGCAGGAACATGCAGGTAGATTAAGTGAGAAGCAGTATATTGTGAAATACATATTTCCTGAACTTAATGACTAAATGGAAAATAGCATGATGAGGAGGTGTGTACAGGAATCAGTATTCTGTGTTCTACCAATGGTTTGACACAGACCTGGACCAAAAACTTCAATGGTTTGTCTTCTATTTTCAGCAATAAATATTGAATTAGCTTACATAAATTCTGGGATTCTTGAAGACAGTCGCCTTAAGAAGAACTCAAAAAGGCAAAATTCACACAAAAACGTTAACAGTTTTAGAAACATAGTCCTGCCTGTTCCATTTCACCTCTAAAATACCTATACAAATGTACAACCACTGCACAGACACCTCACCCAACCCAGGACAACACAAAATAAAATCAGAAAATTATTATGAAGCCTTAAAACATCATCTAAGAATAATCTGTCTTTTTAAAAGCCCTAAAAAAACACAGGACAACATGAACATAACATGGAAAGTAGTCTCTGATGTATGGTACTGAAAAGACTTGCTATCTTGTTAAAATATGTTTTAAAACATATGAAACAGGTAGTCGATGTGAGGGAAAATGCCTGGGTCGAAGTGTGATGAAACAAAAAAAAGGATTTGGTAATCTCATTTATCTAACATGTAACTAACTGAATATCACACAAAAATCATTAAGCATCACCTGTAATGAGATACAGAGCACTGAGTCATGCCCACATCACTCAAGAGAAAGTAGTATGCTCAGTCTAAGCAGATGTTTAAAAACAGTAACACCAAGGAGGCAAACACAGTATTGGCCTTTGACTTCCACCCTAGATAACATGAGATGAGAAAGGGCCTGTCAGAATGGCAGCTGCTCCTAGTTTAAAGTACTCAGTAATAATACAATAAGAAAATATCATTTGGACCAGTTAGGAAAAGGCTGCTTAGATAATAATGCCAGCAAATAGGAATTTTATCTCTTTTAACTGCCCTTCAATTAACAGCACTGCATTCCTAGAGCCTGGCATTTTATTAAATGTTTTATATCACATCAACAACACTATGATAATGGTCATTCTTACAAATTAGGAATCTGCATTTACATTTTTTTCATTCACCTGTTTCCCCAAAGGCACTAAGAGGTGGTACGTGAAGAGGAATAATTTTGCATGAGACTATTTCTCCTTTCTCTTCAGTAAATGTCTAAAACACTGTGTTTAAAATTATTAGACTTCTATCAATAATTTAATTTCATGTCCTTCAATACATTCACTCACTACTTTGACATTTCCAAATAGGGGTCTTACATTTATATAAAACCATAACATTATGCTGCATTCTCTGAAGTTGGGCAATGTATAGTGAATGTTAGACTTCAGGTACCTACTGAATATACTGTCACGGCAGACACCTTCTGTCAGATAAAGTTACCATCCATTGTCTCCATCTTAACAGTTACTAAGTGCCAGTTCATCCAGTGCTAAAAACAAGCAAAAAACAAACAAACAAAAAAAACCCAAACAAACTAAAAAAAGCCCCGCAGCTGTTCACCTG